GCTTCAACTTCTCTTTCCCCGCCGAATTGCTGATTACCGTCACACAACCTGCCCAACTATCCGGCAACTGCGATAGTAGTAGAAGGGCCTGCACTTCGTCATCGAACGTGATGTCCACGAAGATAAGTTGATCAACAATCGTGTTGAACTCGCTGAGGTGCATCGTGAAGGACCGTCCTTTTGCCATCTTGAGGTTGAAAAGAGTTTTGACTAGATGCACCTTATTTGCTGCCGACGGTTGCTCGTATATCTTTGCGAGCGCTTCCATAAGCCTCACCGTCGTCTTCTCCTTTAGAATATTATGGACTACTGATTTGACGAGAGACAACCGAATTTGCCCTAGAGCCTTCCTATCCAGTACCTCCCAATCACCATCTGACTCCTCTTTCTTCTTTCCCTTTTTCTTGCCCATCAACGGGCAATACAAGTCCTTCTGGTACAGATAGTCCTCCATCTACGACTTCCAGTAGGCGAAGTTTGAACCATCAAACTTCTCGATCTTTGATTTGCTTTCCTCTGCCATGGCTTTCATACAAATTACTGAACGAAGCTCTGATACCAGTTATTGGGGGACTCGAAACAATCAATCGAACCATTGCCCTTCCGGACCTTGTGTTGAAAGTAGGTAAGTAGGAAAAATACCGCAAATAAAGATCTAACCTTGCAAAAATAGTAAAGGAGAAGAACACACAGATTTAACGAGGTTCGGCAACGTGCCTACGTCCTCGGGAGCCACACCACACAATCTCTTTATTAATTGAAGAAGAAAATACAAGCTCTCAAACAAGGGGTTAATCTCTCTGAGATTCTCTCTCTCTTTGTAGTCAAAAAGCTCTCTTTTTGATGTAGTACCAACCCTAAAATCGTATGGGGTATATATAGAATCCTGGATAAAACAGATTCCTAAACAGAACAGGAAACTGCTAAATTTACTCGCGGTCGACCGACGCGGTCGACCGACGGTCTCGCAGTCGACCGTCACGGTCGACCAACTGCAAAACCCGAGACCAGTTTACTTACAGGGTTTTGGCGGTCGACCGCCTTGGTCGACCGCGACCTGATCCAGGCTCTCCCAGCTTGTGTGCACGTTCGCGGTCGACCGACTCGGTCGACCGTGGATCTGTCTGCTCGTTTTCTCGTCCTTTTGATTGCAGCTCTTGTCTCAAACTTTGAGTCTACACCTTAGACTAACATATCCTTTGTACAAATGCAATTACCTTTTTAGACATTAAAATTTAGGATATGGTACGATTTTTTAAAACTTAGCTCCTGATTCAATGCTAAAAGCGATCAATGTGTACTGCAATGCTCCTTTGAGTACATTCTATTATCTTTTCTGTCACTAACATTCATGCCATATTAGATTGTTTGATACTTAATGCCAGTCTGTTTATTACCAGGGTTTATAATAAGTTGCTTATAGAAATAACTTATATAAACTAATGAAAATAGTCATTTAATTGATCATCATATATTAAAAGTAGCTTCGAAAAATAGATAATGTGATCGTTAAAACCGTGCTTAAAGATCATTGTCAATACAGAAAAGCCATATATGGCAAATGAACTAAAACAAAGTAGAAGTTACTTTTAAAAATATTGTGAGGTTGCTTCTAAAAGCATTACTCTAAAAGCAAAAGCAATTTCATTAAGTATGAAAAAAAACACCAAGCACTTCTAAAGAAGACAAGCAAAAGCACTAAAAAGAAAAAAAAACATGTTGCCACCTCATCAATCTTCGCTATCTTTAACTTTGCATTTAGCTCATCAATCTCCGAACTGAACCTAGCCTTGTTTTGGGTTTGCTTTTTTACTTGGCAAAAACTGAATCAACTATAGCCCTATTTCTTTTAGGCCCCCAAAAAAGGTTAAAACTTGTCTTTTTAAGCATTCATTTCTTAGTTCAAAAACAATAATGCTATTTGGCTCGCTCATTGAGCTCGCTTCTTCAACTCGCGCCCACGTGGAGGAGCCACGTCAGCACTTCTCAAACAAAAACAATCCATGTGACCAGTCCCTTCCTCCTCCAAACACTTTTCTCTCTCCAAAAGAAACCAATTCCACCCCAATTCCCCTCCCCCACCCCAGCCCCA